TCTGGGGGGGGCGGCCCCAAACCAGTCAGGCAGAGGGCCGGACTGGCAATCAGGCATACCGGTGAGCCGAGGCAAGCCGGGCCGCACATAATCAGGCATCGGTGGCTGCCTAATCAGGCAAATTGGGCAGCCACCGGGCCCCATGACCAGTCTGCCCCTGAGGCAAGCTGGGCACTTCGAGCTGCAGGTAAGAGGAGTAGCACATGAGTGCAAGGAAAGAGATCCTGCACAGTCTAGCACCTGAGACCATGTGCAGCCCACCATAGACCCTGCAACACAGCCCACCATAGACCCTGCACAACCCACCGTAGACTCTGCACATCCACCATAAACCCTCGCACATCGCACCACAGACCCTGTACAGACCACCTGAGACCCCATACAGCCTACCATAGACCCGACACAGCCCACCACCTGAGACCAGCATAGCCTACCATAGACCATGCACAGCCCATCTGAGACCCCACACAGCCCACCTCAGACCCCACACAGCCCACCTGAGACCCTGCACAGCCCACCATAGACCTCGCAAAGCACACCACCTTGGACCCCGCACAGCCCACCATAGAACCTGCACAGCCCACCATAGACCTCGCAAAGCACACCACCTTGGACCCCGCACAGCCCACCATAGACCCTGCACAGCCCACCTGAGACCTCATATGGCCCACCTGAGACCTCATATGGCCCACCTGAGACACTGGCAGAAGTGAAACAGGCACTTGCTGTATCCAGCAACTGACAGGTTATGCAAAATGTCTTAACCCCTTAAGGACTACGGCCTTTTAAAAAAAAATTTGTTTACATGCTGTAATCCACATTTTAGGCCTGAAAATTACTTAAAACCCCCAAACATATATTTTCTAAATGCCAAGACCCTGTAGAATAAAATGGTGCATGACATTAGTGCAACTTATTATGAAATCAAAACATTTTGTGAAAAATGCACTTAAGTTACATTTATTGCCCCAAAACACTATATAAAAAAATATATACCCAACATGCCCAGGTTAAAAAATTTGTGCGTCTGTGAAATAGCAACAGAATTCAGTACCCCAAAAAGTTCATACACAACGCTTTAAAAGACCCTACAGGTCATCAGTTTAGGGATATGCATAACTATTGTCCCTAGAGTTATTGCTCTCACCCAACATGTGTAGAGCAATCATCGTTTTCGTACGTAGGCACATATGACACGTGCTTACGTGATGAAGCGCGCGCTCGCGGTTGACTTTACATTTAAAAAAAAATCATTTTTACATTTAATTTATTTAATATTTATAAAACTGTTTTTCTTTTTACTTTACTTTAATTGCTATCACATAGGGAGGCTTACAAGCCCCCCATGTGATAGCATATTGGTGGTAACAGGTCCTCTTTAAAAGGTAATACTGGGGGTCCAAAGACCCCTAGAATCACCTTTACACTCTAAATAAGATATTGAAGTGCAGATCGCACTTCAATAGCTTATTGCTGGGCTTCAGGAGCCTATTGTACATTGCACATTACACTGGAGGAGCCAAAGACGTACCCTGCACCAAAACTGCTATCTGGAGTATAACTGCTGACATAATTTGGCATAAAAGCAGAGATCTTGTTGTTAACAAGCTTTCACATGTGCAATATGTGCTAGTTCCATGTTGTTTACACTACATTTAGGATGTCCAGCAGCTATAGAGTATTACCTAATATATTTTTCTCATGGTTTTTTAGAATACATCTTTCAAAACCTGCTGTTGCCATTATTTTCAAATTCACATAGATAGTAAGTTAGGAAGTATTTCTCTAATGTAGTGTGCTAGTGTGCTAATAATACTAATTGTATTAGACTGTTTAGTAGGACCGGTCTTATTTCCATGTCCTGGTCATCAACTGCTTCATCTTGCTATTCATCCTCATGGAAGTGCATAATGGCCTGTTCACTCTTTTTGTTGTTTGTGTTTCTGTTGGGGAGACTCCTTTCACTTTTTGCCCCAGTGAAAGTGGTTACTGGTGAGAGTAAATCTCTCAAACAGGACACGGACAGCTATATCATGAATTTGGCACAGGACTCTAATATAGCCACCAGAAAAGTGTAACAGATGCTTTATTAAATTGTCCCCTCTACTTATAACTAGTTAAAAAAGAGAGCCCACAGGATCATGGAACTACAACCCCAAGGACCCAAGCACTATATTGGGACATCATTTCTTTCCTACATTTATTATACGCTAGCAGTGATATAAATTCTAACTTCTGAGAGTGGTGGACAGGAGGTAGGGGCCAGAAACGATCAAGGACTACTGAAATTCCTGTACTGCAAAGTGGATAAGTGGTAGCTGAGTATATTTGATCCATAGATTGAAAACAGCTTTTAGGTCAGTGTGATATTGAGCAGACCTAGCTGTGGTCATGCCTTCTTCAATATTTACTTTAGATGTCTAGTAAATGTAAAAAATAAATGGCTTGGTAATAGGCTATTTATTACTAAGCACTTGGGAGATTTACCCGCAGGTACTGCAATCTATATGGCATAAAAAGTGATGGCCTATGCTAGATGGAAAAACTCATTTACACAAGAGACCAACTTCCCTTTAGCTGTATAACAAAATAAAAGAAAGTATCTTGTCTAGTGATAAGATGAACAATCAGTTCATGGCACATTTAGCAATGTGGAAGTTGACATTACTCAGAGCGTAGATAATGGAAACAATTAGTGGCTGGAACAAATCATAGAGGTTTGGTGTACATACTTAGAGCGAGAGAGTGAAGCAAATTTACTAATTAAGATAAGGAATACATGTTAAGAAGCCAAGCTTGAGTTGTTGAAAAGGTTACATAGGAGATTCCCATGATGCAGTCTCTTGGGCATAGAGAGGTCTGTGGTTTTTCCATTAGAATTCAGTCAAAAGGAACAAAACAAGCAATTCTCAGAAATTATATAAACTGCTACTGTGGGCCACACACAGTTTACCAACACCATGAATTACAGAAAACAGATAAGATAGATGAACTTTTAAACTGTTTCAACACCCGTGTCTTCCAACAGCAGCTTGATCAGGGCCTTATATCACATCTACCCATCACATCTACTTAGTTAAGAGCAGCTTTTTTTTGCCTGTACATCACTCTTTCTTGACCCTTTAAAGAAGTTGTCTTATGATCCCTAGTTAGATCCCTAGCTACAATGTATAGACTTATTGTATAATGCAATCTATTTCAAATGTAAAATTAAATTTGCTAAAATGGGGACATGTATGAGGTGTAGGTTTTGTCTGAGGTCAGTTTATATCCTCTTAGAAAAGGACGGTCATCTGCATATGTAAAGAATAAACAAACGGATGCTTCTTTTGTTACCTACATCATTTAGAAGTTCTTGTTGTGTGCAGAATGTCCATTATGTACAATCTGTCTTTACAAGCAAAGACTGTTAAAAATTGGATCTTTAGGCTCAGGTTGGGCTGCCTGCTTATATCTCTGAGCTTTTCTTCACCTAATGGCCTGGAGGAGCTTTTATCAACCATGGTGCTCGGCCTCTTCAGGGGTGCCTCACAAATTTGTGGTAGTGAGCTTGTGATGTGAAGGGGGGAATGAAGACTGATGTGCAGGGGCAGCTACTGATGCAAAAGGTGACTCTGATGTGAAGGGGGGAATCTTGGTTTGAGTGGGGCAGTTCAATGTGAAGGGGGAACCCACTTTTTTTGTGTTTTTGCGTGGGACGCCTCTTAAAATCTATGACATTTAGACTGGGGTGCCTTGAGATTTTGCATACTTTTATGCTGTGACTGAAAAAAAGGTTAAGAAACTCTGGCCTGGAGAATTGATGACCTCCCCACCCAATCAATATTAATTAAAATACTGCACTGGTGCGTTATAAAATTGTATTGTTCAATAACTGTTCAGTTTTGGCCAAAGCTAGTAAAGACTACATCATTGGAAGGCCAATTGGAAATGTATATAATATGTATACTTTTTAAACTTTAGTTTTTATAAAATTTATTACAAAATTGTTTTCCTTCCATTTTTGATCACCAACTGTTTATGGCTTATTAACTTTTTCTTCTTTTTGTATGTTAAGTATTCACACCATAGGCGTCGCTAAAGGGGGGTCAAGGGAAGGGGGGCAATTGCAATGGGGAGCCACGCAATGCTTGCTTACAGCACTTCTGCCACCCGCACATCTCCCCTTACTAAAAAGTTTTTTCAATCCTCATTAGACCCTCTGCCCCCCTACTGACACCCTCTGCCCATGACATCAGGCCAGAACCCCAGAGTAGAGTGGTAGCACAGAGTATATAGCAAATTCATAAACTATTATTCTGAATTGCTCTGATGTTTTTCTGGGATTTGTAGTCCTCTATAGCTGATGGTATTATTCTGCATTGCTGTATATTGTGTTACTGAGATTTGTAGTGCTCTATAGCTGGTGGTATTCTGCAATACCATATAATGTATTGCTGAGATTTGTAGTCCTCTATAGCTGGTGGTATTCTGCATTGCTGTATAACATAGGGGAATATTTACACAACCCTGGTGCTTGCTGAAATTGCTTTAAACTATAAAGAAAAGCTTTTGAGAGTTTTCCTCTCTTTCTCAGGTCTGAAGAAGTATATGAGGAAGAAAGGAACACTCTTGAATGCTTGTCTTTTAAGTACAAGTATAGTACAACAAAAAAGGTATAATTGCATTCCGCATTACTCTCATATTTTGTAATCTTATTTATATATACTTCTTTAATTTTTTATAGTGGTATGATTTAGTGGTGAAAATGAATAGTGCCCCCCTATTTTAACTGTGGTGTCTTATGTGCCCCCCTATATATTGTTCCTAGAGTCTCCACTGATTCATACTCATAGACATTGGCCACCACACATTTCTATATATTTCCTTGTTATTAAATACATAAAACTCATCATGCTATGTGGTCTACAGCCATTCTGTTAGATTGCTAAACATGATTCCTGTGTGCCTTCAGCATAAACTTTCCTTCCTCTTTAACAGCAGGAACAGTTATTTATTACCTGTAGCTTTCTCAGGATTGTTGCACATAAAACATAGCCATGACCCAATTTCCTCGCTAAATCCAAAAAGATCAAAAAACCTCACTTCTCCCAGATGCATAAGTACAAGATCCAGATCCTAGAACGACACATATAAAATAATAGTTATTACTTTGGCAGATAAAGATCAAATATTCCCCAGACATTCAAAATATTTATCTTCTAGTTAAAACTGTACAGTCAGCAACCGGACATCTCACACAGTGCAAATTAGTGGTTAAACTGAAGACGTTTTAGACATTAGCAAATAGGTCTGAAAATAATAGAGATAAAAGGAAGACTTTTACTTCCTTAATGAAAAAAAGTCCTGATCTTTAATAAATAGTTTTTAGTCTGCTTCCTGGAACCTCCATATTCTTGATTGCAATCCTCAACATCTATCAGACAACTTTAAAAATGATAGACATAGCTTTATTAAACTGTCAGTCCGTAGCCTTACAAGTTGGATCCCAATTGTTACAGCATGCAGTTGTTTTGCCTTTTGAATGTCGGAGAAGATTCAGGTCCTTAGTACATAGGGACATATACATATCTGATATGTACAGTTCTCTTTTAGTGTGATAGGATGTACACTATAAGCATTTTAGTGATCAAAGATGGCACTCCAAATAATTATATGAAGTTACAACAACACAGATGTCACCAAGTTTATTAACCTCTATCGTTATTCTTACCAGTGTATTTCTCTTTGTAATACATATACTGCTTCTCTCCAACAAACACAGATTAAGCAATGGGATATATGAGGCCCTGTATAAGAACACCTAGAAGGTAATTCACAAAGCTGCCATGGAGCTCACGGCTGGCTCTGCCCAGTTGTGATGACAGATCAGCGTTCCCAAATGACCTTGGGAACTGTCATTAAACAATAATAACTGGGCGGAGCCGGCCCTGACGTTACTGTATAAGAACACCTAAAAGGTAATTCACAAAGCTGCCAAAGGATCCAGCCGTAGCTTCAGCTGATCCTTCCACTTGCTTCGGTTGCGGGAGCCCTTCGGTTCAGTCGAACCCTAGGGCTGCTGTACGAGCTATTCACTAAAGCCCGTACAGCAGCTGCAGGCTTTCGAGCGGCTCAGTCGAGCCGAAGGTATATGCTTCGACTCGACTGAGCCGGAGTGACAGCCGAAGCATGGCGAACGGCCTGCCGAATACTGGCCTTTCAGCCCGCAAATAACAGCTGGGCGAAGCCAGCCATGATCTCACAGCTGCCTCCCCCCAGTTGTGATGACAGATCAGCATTCCTAAATGACCTGGGGAACTGTCAGTAAACAATAATAACTGGGCGGAGCCGGCCATGACATCACAGCAGGCTCCGCCCAGTTGTTATTCATTGACCGGGACCTGCTTGAAGACTCTAGCATGTGACGGCCAATAGGAAACAGTTGGGTGGAGCTAGCTGTCACTGCTAGCTCCACCCAATAGTTTTTTTTTCTTTTTTTAAAAACTTTCTTTTTACATTTTATTTACATTTGTAAACTTTATTCAACCTTTTTTTTCCCCCACGACTATTTTCATTGATTTTCTATTCTGCTTGGTACCACGAAGGTACCAAGTAGAATAGCCGAGCCGATTCGCTATTCACTAACTGCTGTTCGGCCCCTATGTGGATAGGGGCGAACGGCAGCGAGTGAGCCGCCGGAGCTTCGGCTCAGCCGATCCAGATGTTGGAGTCCTTCTGCACTTCAGCTCAGCCGAACATGCAGAGCATGATCAGCTGACCGAAGTGCAGCCGAAGGCAGCCGATGTACGGCTGAAATCAGCCGTACTGAGCCGGAGTGAATAGCCGAGCGTAGTACGGCTCACTTCACTATGGCTGGGTTATTCACTTGGCTGCCTTCGGCAGCTTTGTGAATAACCCCCCTAGAATTGTAAAATCACACAAAATGAAAGAGCGCTACTACTGTGGAGAAGACACACGTTTCAGTTGTCAGCATATCGCATGGGAGCTGGTCGAATAATCATATGATACCGGGAGTGGTAACAGAAGAAAAATCTAAGTGCTGTGATAGAAGGTCGTTAACAACACTGACTCAGCTGGCCAGGCTGAGCCACGGTGCCAGGGATGGAAGGCGATGTCAGTGCCGGACCGTTCAGGGACCTCTGTGGTCTGTGAGAGCGGTGTGTCCAAACTGTCAAGAGCAGAGGGGAATGAGGGGAAAGAACAAGGAAGATGTCCTACTATCAGCAGCTACGCGTTTCGAGGCTCTGCCTCTTTCTCAAGCCTAGATAAATCGTGCAGTGAGGATGGCGGGAGACATTGCTCGTATTTGGACCTGACAGCTGGGAGGAGTTAACCGCTGTCAGATAGATCTGATTGGTGAAGGAATCGGTCAAGGGCGGAGATAGGGTCTAAGTAAGCACTCCCACTTGAAGGCTGTGCTCAAGGGACTGGGCGTGGATACAGCCGAGCCGGCCCGTCAGGAGAGTGGGTGGGAAAAATTGATAACAAATTTATAAAATTAAATTAACGTAAAAAATCTAGTAAATCTAATTTACAAAACGGTGTGGATCTCAATCTCCTCATTGAGACCTGTGGGTGCCAGAGTATTTAATTTAAAAATCCAAAACGTCTCTCGATTGCAAAACGGTGAAAACGTTCTGAAACAGATAGCTCTGTAGAAATGTGTTCGATCGCGAACACCCGAAGGTCTTTGGTACATTTGTGGTGCTTGAGGGTGAAATGACGGGGAACGCTGTGTTCAAAGTCCCCTTTTTCCATCAGGCGTCTGTGTTCACCTATCCTGGTACGTAAGGGGCGTATAGTGCGACCGACATATAACAATCCACAATGACAAGTGAGGCCGTAGACCACATGGTCATGCGAACAAGTAATAAATTGCCTAATGTTGTAGGGATTATTCAGGTGGTCGTAAAAACGGGTTTGGCCATGATGAATAAATTGACAAGTCAGGCACCTAGCTTTCCTACATTGGAACGTCCCAATCCTGTTGTCAAATAGGAAATGCTTGGTGCGTGCATCTGGTCGCTGGAATGTCCGGCTAGGTCCTACCATGTTTTTGATGTTCCTGGATTTCCTAAAATTAATGGATGGTTTAGGCGGTAGGATTGGGCCTAATTTGTAGTATATGCCAATTTTTCAGGAGTGCTCGTTGGATGGCAGTGAAACTATTGTTAAAAGTGGTGATAAATCTTATTTTGTTCTGTTCACCGTTAGTAGACTTATGTCTGGGATTCGAAGGTGGATTGGGTTTTGCATAGTGGGAAAAGGCTTCGGTAATAATATCATCTGGATAATTTTTCTCTCTAAACTTTTCTAGGAGGAGGTGACTAGATGTGGTATAATCATCTTGATGAGTACAGTTCCTCCTCAATCTGCAGAACTGGCTCTTAGGAATGTTCTTCTTCCATCTAGGGTGGTGGCAACTGTCAAAATGAAGATACGAGTTGCCTCCCGTCGGTTTGACGTGATTGTTAGTGATGATGTCAAAGCCTAGGGAGGATAACTCTAAATCGAGAAAAACTAGTTTGGTGGTGTTGACCTCATAAGTAAAGGTTAGTCCAAAATGGTTGTTATTGCAATGGTTGAGAAAGTGGGACACGCTCTCTGGGGGGCCGTCCCAGATGATCAGAATGTCATCGATGTACCTGCCGTAGAATATTAAATGTTTGGCGAACGGGTTATTGTTCCAAATGTTTAGGGTCTCCCGGTGGCCCATGGTAAGATTATCATAATTTGCTGTCCCCTGTGTTTGTAAATAAAATTTGCCTAAAAATGAAAAATAGTTGTGCGTAAGGGTGAACTCCGTGCAGTTTATAAGAAATTGCACTTGGATGTTGTTGATAGAAGACTTTGCCAGAAAAAATTGGAGAGCGTTTAGACCAATTAGGTGGGGAATGGAAGTATATAGGGAGCTGACATCCCCTAGAATTGTATAATAGTATAATTTGGGAACTTATAGTAAGATGAATTATGGAAAGTAATGTTGAAGATGGGGATTTTCCTAAAATATCCCCAAGATCTGAACAGCACGTACAAGTTAATTTTACTACAAGGTCTACAAAACAGCAAAGGGTAAATGACAGCACTTAGTGGTTGCTATTAAAAATGATTGCTTCTTACATTGTAAAAAAACTTTGCCCTAAGCCATTTTTGAAAGGGCTACAACAGCATGGTAATATACAATGGTGGAACTACGGCCATAGCAGCCAACAAGGCCACTATGGGGCCCGGGGCAAAGGGGGGCATGGTGAGGAGTTAACATCCGCCAAGCCACAGCAGTCATTAGCACTGCCCACAGCTTATTCATATGCAAAGTGAAGGATTTGCATATTAATGAGCCATGAAGAGATTTGCATCAAGGAAGTTCATTCATACACAAATCGTAGCAAGGCTCATT